CCCCACCAGGATTGGGGGCACAGCCTAAGGTCCCCCGTCAAGCCCTGCTGGGTGGGGGGTGTGGCCTGAGGTCCCCTGGCCCAGTACTGGGGCAATTGGGCACACCTTGAGGTCCCCTGTCAAGCCCCACCAGGCGGGGCGGGGGGGGGGGAGCACAGCCTGAGGTCCCCTGGCCCAGTGCCTGGGCAGGGTTGCGGCTTGAGGTCCCCTGGCCTGGTGCTGGGGTGGGGGGTGCAGCCTAACGTCCCCTAGCCTGGCACTGGGGTGGGAGGAGCAGCCTGAGGTCTCCTGGCCCAGCACCAGGACAGGGGCACACCTTGAGGTCCCCTGTCAAGCCCTGCCAGGTGGGGGGCACGGCCTCAGGTCCCCAGGCCTGGCGCTGGGGCAGGAGTCATGGCCTGAGGTCCCCCAGCCCAGCCCCAAGGTGGGGGAGAATGGCCTGAGGTCCCCTGTCAAGCCCCATGGGGGTTGGGGGGCACAGCCTCAGGTCCCTGCTGATTGCTTGTTAAGGCTCATTATGGGAACTTGGCCTCTGCTGTGGGTGCAGCCATCTTGTGTTACGGAAACCCCCGCCTCCACTGTGGGTGCTGCCATCTTTGTGGCGGAGTGACAGTCAATTTGCCTATTCCCTCTTTATTATATAGGATATATATACTGCAAAACACTGTTGTAAAACCCACTTCTTCAAAATATTTTATCCTCCAGTCTGCTTCAGTGTCTTTATTTCCTCTATTAAAAGTTAGGGATTAATTATTTGAATTAAGGTTTATTCTTAAAGCCTAAAATTTAGATATCCCTGGGAAAATTAATATTATGCTAACATGAATCATTAGCACATTACTTTGAGTAAATTGATCAGATTACTGATTTGAATAACAAAGGAATGAGACAGAAGATAAAACATATTGATAAGGAGGAGGGGTAGATAAAGAAAATCACAGTGCCTTAACCAGTTTGGCTCAGTGGATAGAGCATCAGCCTGCGGACTCAAGGGTTCCAGGTTTGATTCCGGTCAGGGGCATGTACCTTGGTTGCGGGCACATCCCCAGTAGGGGGTGTGCAGGAGGCAGCTGATCAATGTTTCTCTCTCATCGATGTTTCTAACTCTCTATTTCTCTCCCTCTCTGTAAAAAATCAATAAAATATATTTTTTAAAAAGAAAATCACAGCACTGAATAAAAACTTAGATAGATAGGCCTGGGGAGTAGGGCCGGTCCTAGTTAAGCAGCATAACAATATGGAGATTTTTGCTCGCCTTGAATGATAAAAATAATCGGTCAGGACTTCTGGGCTGCCTACTAAGTGGACTATAGCCTAAACCATTCTCTAAAAAGTTTAATAATCTCCTGGAAATATTTCCTCTCCCCTTTAGAAAAGATATGTTCCAAAAAATGGTGGTAGAGAAAGTGGATGCTGCACGGACATGATCCCAGGAACAAACTGAAATTACAACTAAAATACAGAAAAACTTCCTGAATAATCAATGGAAGACTCACAGGAGAGAACCCTGATACCTGAGGACTAAAAGTGGAGACCACATAGAGACTGGTAGGAGGGGCAGAGGCACAAAAGGGCTGGCCAGGTGCCCACAGACAGCAACTGAAGTTCCAGAGAGATATCTCAGCTATGGGGGGTTGCCACTGAGAACTCTGGGATATAATCCCCAAGCTGGACCCCACAGCAGAGAGTACCAAAACTGAGAAGGGTATCCACATAACATATGGCTGTGAAAAGCAGTGGGGGTTGCTGTCTGCCAGGGACTGACAGCTAAAAATTCAGGCACCCTCTTAAAGGGCCAAGGCACAAAATTCTGTGTGGAGCCACCCACCTTGTGCTCCAGCAGAAGGAGGGCAGAGTGGACTAGAGCTGTGTGAGCAGAAGCCAGGATTGGGGACTCATGAATTAGAACATGGAAGGTAGACACCCCCAATTTCCTGTGCTGAGTCATTCTCTCATGCAGTGGAGAACATCTCTCCCACACAGACATTTGCTATACAGGTGACCTTGCCTGGAAGGGGGAAGACAGTTTACACACCCTATCGGAAAACATCTTGCCCTGAGGCGACTTAAGAGACTAAAAATAACAATTAGCCTCTAGGCAGACAGACAGCCAAACTGAGGAGACAAAGAAACAACCCCCAAATTAAATAACTAGAGAATTCTCCAGAAGAAGACATAAATGAAGCAGAGATAAGAAATTTCTCTGAAACAGAGTTCAGAGTAATGATAATAAAGATGCTCAACAGCATGAAAAAAGATATAGTAACCTAAGAAAGGAACAACCTGAGACATTATGCTCAATTAATATTTGACAAAGGAGGAAAGACCATACTATGGAGTGAAGCCAGTCTCTTCAATAAATGGTGTTGGGAAAATTGATGGGATAGATGCAGGCAACAAAATGAAACTAGACAACCAACTTACACCATATACAAGAATAAACTCAAAATAGATAAAAGACTTAAATGTAAGTTGTGAAACCATAAAAATCCTAGAAGAAACCATAGGTAGCAATATCTCAGATATCTCCTGTAGCAAGATGTTTACAGATACATCTCCTAAGGCAAAGTAAACTAAGGAGAAAATAAACAAATGGGACTACATCAAAATATAAAGCTTCTGCAAAGCAAAATAAACCATCAACAAAATGAAAAGAAAGTCCACTGTATGGGAGAACATATTTGGCAATGATACATTTCATAAAGGGTTAATATCCAAAATATATAACGAACTCATGCAACTTAACAAAAGGAAGACAAACAATCCAATTAAAAAATGGGCAAATAGACACTTCTCCAAAGAGGACATACAGATGGCCAAGAGACATATTATGAAAAAATCAAGGTCTCTAATCATCCAAAAGATGCAAATCAAAATGACAATGAGGTACCATATCATACCTGTCAGAATGACTACCATCAACAAATCAACAAATGACAAGTGCTGGAGAACCTGTGGAGAAAAGGGGACCCTATTACACTGCTGGTGTGAATGCAGACTAGTGCTTCCATTATGAAAAATAGTATGGAGTTTCCTCAAAAAATTAAATATGGAACTGCCATTTGACAGTGATCCCACTTCTAGGAATATGTCCTAAGAAACCCGAAGCATCAATCAGAAAGAATGTATTCATCCCTATGTTCATAGCAGCACAATTTACAATAACTAAGATCTGGAAACAGCCCAAGTGCCCATCAGTAGATGAGCAGATAAAAAAGTTGTGGTACATTTATACCATGGAATACTATG